CGGCCACCCTTTTCCGCCCCCCCCCCCCCCACAATGACTACAGTTTTTTTCCTGCACCCCACAAACGTATCTGTCGCTTTAACAAACAATTAACGTTGTTAAGAACAAAGTAAAATCGCCCATCACGAATAAGAGCACCCAAAATGGATCGAATCGGAACCATGGGTCTGAGCTAGCTAGAATCCATAATAACGAAGCTGGGCTTCGCCCAAAGAAGCTTTAAATTATCAGCTTTTTTATAGATTGCTAAGGATTCCCAACTCATTAGGTAGGTAAAGTATAAAAGAAAAAGTTGGGTTTTCCGTTGCGAGAGATCTCCTGCGCCTGCATCGCAGCCGTAACAGATGCCTTGCCGAATCAACCCTTCCGTTTACTACAGCAGAAGACTGTATCTTCTAAAGTTGGAGCAATAAATTTACAAAAATCCGACTTAGACTAAAATATATCTCCGTGTGAATGTTTGAGATGCTTCAATACTTAAGTAGGAGCAATACTCGAGTAGATCCATAACTCTCGCAAAACCAACAGGATTCAAGTAAACACAGATGTGTCAGTCCACACTTCGGAGCCGGTCAGAATTAACCCTAATTCCAGGTTAATTTTCCTTGAAAAGGCATTTCCAGCTCCGAAAATGGATCGGTCGTTTGCGGACAACTTATGCTCATTATCCTGACCGGGACTAACGTCTATGCCCATATTTTTTTGCGTTTTCTACTGGGTTAAATAGGCATTGTGGCACATCAAAATATCCACCCTTTAGCGTTATGCCTTTGGTTTGTCCGAGAAGCAAGCTGGGTATGAGCAATGGACCAACGTTGTACGGTTGAAGATCATGTCCCGGTTGGGATATTTATGAGCTTAAATGCTAGTACAACGTCCATAGTAAAATAGACGTATTTGAACGCGAGGGGGACGATACAGGTAACATTTGAATTGAGAGTGGAGGACGATGCGAACGAGGCTTGTAGTCGATGTGAGTCGATGAATGGAAAATTGAAAGTGAGATTAATTGAGTTAGAAGTCCCAGTATATATTCCTTTCTCCTACATGCAGACCCTAGTGCCCTCCTATCATGATCATTAAGTCCGCGTATACAGATTGAATACTGTGGTGGACACTCTTAAGTGAGAAGGGAACGTTTGGGTGAGACGGACACACCTGATTACAAATATGCTTTTAAAGCGTAAACTGGGACGGACACACCTGGCTGGGACGGGAGCACTCGTCTACAATGTACACGCCACATGTCCCGATTGTCCTCCCGAAGCAGATTTCGTGGTCGACCCGATTGAAATTGGCGGCCAATCACAATTCAGGACCAATTGATCTGCCAATCAGGTCGCACTATTCCTGTCACTTCAGCTGTAGCACGCATTCGGCACGCGCACACAGCGTGCCAAGCGGTATGTATCCAGACGAGTAGACAGCAAAGTGCAACCACAACAATTTGTATAGTTTATTGCTTAAACACAGGTAAATTGTATCACTGTACTTTGATCATACTCTTCATTAATTTATGGTTTTTGGAGATAAATACCCGTATTATTGGAAATGAAAACATCAGCCGTATCCTCTCAGAGAATTTGCAATCCTAGAACTTTCTAACCTTCATTTTCTATCTTGCTGAGCATGCTACCGTCACTTAAGCTGTCCTTCACTGTCTAGAGAAATACTCGAACGACAATTATTCGCACTCTTTAAGCAAATGCTGAATATTGCAATATTATTCAAATAATATGGAAGGAATCGTAATTTTAACTAATTTTACCAATTGGAACGAAATGAAAATCATGCATAATTTCTTGGTCTTGGAGCTTCTAACAGCAGAATATCACGTTCAGCGTGCATAATTGCAATTTTCCGTTAGTGGGCTAAAACCAAACATTTATGCAGGTTTTACAAATTTGTACCTCGACCAAGCTTAATGTTAGCTTCAAAATCGGTGAGCTTTATCCTTTTAATATAGTAATAATATCACCTGGTAGACCAGCCAATATAAAAAAACTACCCATCATGTTCTTCTGAGATAAAATGAATTTAACGGATGCGCCCTATTAGAGTCCGGACTTTATTTAATAGTGCCACTCGAAAGTGACAGAGAGGACTTTATACGGGTGAGGACTTTATTGGTCTGACTCTTTCTAAGCGTTAATTTCTATGTACAGTAGGTCCTTGAAACTCTTATAGATTCCAATATCTCCAGCTTGCAAGTAAGGCGTGAGGCCACCCAGGCACAACACACATCGAGCACTTTTCGAAGAGCACTTAGCTTTCACAGACTTCGATACGTGGGCTCTCATGCTGTCCCAAACCAAGCAATTACGTTCACCGTGCATCACGAATGGAATAGTCACATCAATCCACTTCTTGAGCAGCTCGTTATCAACCCAAGCTCGGGTTTGGTGTGCCACGAGAAGTGGCCCTGACTTTGTTTACAAAAGACGGTGAAAATTTTCCTTTCCAGACCAAAAGTGGGGGCAACTTTCGGCCTGTTGCCGGAACATTGTTCCTCTCTGTATGATGAATGGTCAGTAAGTTTGTAATAACAGGTTTAGTAGTTTGTAAAAGGACTCTATTCGGGAGAGGCTTGTATTTAATTGTGCAGGCATGTAGCTCCCCACAGGACACTATTCGGAAGGGGGCTTTTGTTCGGGCGCATCCGTTATTAAATATGACCTTAATGTTAGACAGTTATAATATATTTTTAAAAATTGCTTCATTTCAGCCAAATGACTGTCTTCGAATGTTTAGTACTACTAAGTAATAGGAATTGGCATATTTGAATCTTGTACGTTAAAAATTGATATTAATTCTTTTTTTAAGACGTAAAAATCAAATTCAGCGGTCTACTTTTCTCCCCATATGTCTTCGAAGATAGCAGCGACACCAGTTTTTGGTCAAAGTCAACTCAGTTATAAAACCTCTAAAAAAAATCAATTCGAACTCGACACAAAAATATCGTGTTCAAGAGATCTGTCAAGAGTGATGTGTCATCAAGTACGTCGCACTTGAGGTAAGAGCACTTCTTCTAGCAAAAAGTATCGATATTTCGATTACTTCACCGACTCCCCACCCACACCCAAGTCCGAGTCACCTAATATTTTTCCTCTATTTAAACTTCCGACGACATGGACAAAGTGCAAGGAAAACATGCGTCGAGGCTGCCGGCACAAGGACCAGTCGATCTGAACGGCTCTGGCTTTATACTGTTGCTTGGATACAGGTAACAAGGGTTCGCCATGGCTTCAGGTAACCAAATATTTGGCTCTTCATGTATCAGTTGCTGATACGTAGGATACGGGTTCAGCACCAAGAGGATACGATAATACAATAAAAGTTATTGTATAATACGGAGTCTGATTGTACTTAAGCATTTTTCCTCTAAATATTCGATAAAAACCTCGGTGGCTGATGGCAAGAATGCATGCAGGCTTCCATCTCTTCCAGTCGAAAACAGTTTTTGCTTATGTGAAGCAAATTACTCGGCTCGAGCCTAGTAGGGCTCCCAAAGTGCGGACGTAAACGCAATGATGCTGTGGTGCACAGCACAAAGTAGTTGTAATTGTGCCCACCAACTGTAACAGCTCTTTGCAATTGTGAGATTTCGCCAGCCTACCCGGTGAGATTTAATTCTTACTTTTGGTGGCAAACATAATGACCTCAAATATGGTTCTTATTTACAGTATATAATGGCCTGGGTAGTATTTCTCGATTTTCCGAATTACCTTTTACCAAGCCGCAAATCTTTCTAGTTTTGTGTGTATCCAGCATCATCAGCGGTCGGCAATCTTCCTCGAGGCAATAAGCGCTACGACGAAATCGGCCCTGGGATCTTTGGACTCGTAAATCTACTGGCTCAACAAAAGCAGCACTGGAGCGCGGGTCTTGTCAAGGAGCAGATCGAAGCTATCAGCGGGATTTCACCACGGGAAACGCCCGGGTTATTGCCGTGGAAGGCGACCAATGGCATATTCGAACTCAACTTGGAGCGCATTGCCTCATCAGTGCGCTTTTCGCAGCTTTCGCTGTCCATTGTGTATCTCGGCCGGGGCATTCAAGTTAGTCGGCTCGCCGAGTTTTGCATCACCATTCGCGTTGTCCGAACAACCCACGAGTTTGTGAATCGTTATGGTGGGGCTATCATGAAAGGCACAATGTGCCAAACTCATAACTGTTGTTTCGGTTGTGCTGAGTAGCTTTGAGCTTGCAAACTCGCTGAAGACTCAAAATAACCTGACCGACAGCGCTAACGAGACGAAACGCAAGCTGGAGGAGGTCGCGAACGAAATTGTGGATGTGATGGAATCGCTGCGGCCTGAGTGAGCTTTACATGGCTAGGTTGTATGTTGGAGTTTTTCAAAATAAATTACGATTTAATAAAAATAGTGAAAAAGGCGACGAGAAAATACAAAAAAGCAGATAATAAAAAACCGTTCAGAACTGGTGCACAAAACGGGTTCAACGTCCGAGAGGATACACGCAGGTATGACAATACAATAAAATGTATTTGTTGTTAAAACCGACTATCTGTGGTCTACAAAGAAATTCTGCCTTCAGTGGACCCGTTGTGTTACACTAATACCATTTCTGCAGTGCCATTGACAGGTGGCTCTTGGGCAATTCTTCATGTTAGAGATAAAAGCTTCTATACACAAACTGCCTGTACTGCGTTCAATACGCGACATTTTATCAATCATTTTTCTGTGTTTGTGAGCAAATGAGACGCCAGATTACCTGAAACGAACAGAGCAACAGCAAAGACCGAGAATCTTTTCGTCAATAACTCACGAATGCATCATACTCATCCATTGAGAAATACGATTTTGCAGTTAAGAAATATTTTTGTCTGCCGGTGACACGAATGTTGACCCAGGTTACGTTACATTGCATCAGTTCCGTGGAATTAATCCGGTGTGCAAACATTTTTTTTTTAAGGTTGCACCTGCCTAATTCTAGTTAGACTCGTACTTTTGTCACTTTGTTCAAATTTAGAGTCGTTTCTATCCACATTTTTGTTTCTGAAGTGCTCGATCTACCAATAAATTCTCGATCATCTCGTTGCTCATGGAGATATTGGCCGAGGTGGCACTGAGCACAAAATCGGTCAGAGCAGTCGTCCTAGCGTCTGTCCGCAGCTTCCGATTGGTCAAGTGCGGTGCGATAATATAGCAAGTCATGACGCGCGTGGCTGCCTCGTTGCTGTTCATGGAGTCGGTAATATGGGGCTTGATCAACACGTACCCTTTCTCGAGATAATGGACACCAGTCGCAGGTTTCTTTTCGAAGTCCAGTGGCTTAATGTGGGCATGCCACACGATCACAATACGACCATCTTCCACGTGTCGCTTCAAGATCTGCTGGACGTAGAACGTGGCTGTTATCCTGGTCTTGACATCTTTCATCTCCAGTCCGAACTTCTCGACAATCGTGTTGTTAGGCCCATTCTCGTGCGCACAATGGCCCTTATAATTGTGCCAGCGTCTCCACCACGCATCGCCAGTTGAAGGCATATCGAACGGCATGATCTTGTTATCGAACAGCTCCATATATTTGCCATTGACGCTGTCTCGCATCACTGGCCCCCGTGTCGGTAGACAGGTCTGTGCCGGGTCATGGGCTTCAAACACCGCGTCGACTTGTTGGTACGACGTTTCTACTCCGTCCGAGAGCTCTTCAAATATTTTTTGATCGGTATCAGTATAGTAACCTTGCGGTACTTCGATGCGACTTGTGTGTTTACTAATCTCCGAGTACGTCGTGTCTTGTAGCGCTAGTCTCTTGTGTAGCAGTCTCTCGATGCTCTTAGCTACTTGAACTTGACTTTTGTACATCATTTTTAAGTGGATATTTTCCCTCTCGACTCGCAGTCGTCGCTCCAATTGGTGAGCACAAATCTGCTCCCAAACAGCGGACATGCCGCTTTTTGAGCTTACAGAACGCGGCAAGACCGCAACTTGTGGTCTCTTTACACTGACAGAGTATTTGTCGTTGCTTTGAATGCTTTGTAACTGTTCGAGTGTCATCTCCAAGTCCATCACTTCTTTTCTCAAGCACGCGAGCTCGAATCTGCGCTCGTTACGAGCTTTGTTGGGGTCGTAGTTGAGTTTCTTCTTCTTCTTGGCGTTTTTCAACTGTTTGGAGCTTGAAGATGGCACAATGGTTGTATCTTTCGCTTGGACGGGTAAAGTTGTGCTCTCCAACTGCATTACATCGGACACTGCAGGTAGAGGAGGTGAAGTAGTGAGCGCACTAGCGTCGTCGTCCAGCGCCTCTAAGAGCAGCTCTGGGTCAGCGACAGCGGGCGGAAGTGTGGTAGTGGACAGGATAGATGCAGTGGCCGAGCTGTTGGACCCATCGCTGGCGTCTAGGGACTCGTCCAGGAAGGCCAGCGCCGCCGCTAGCGAGATGTTGCATTCATGCTCTAAGAACGACATTTTGATTGTGACGATTGCACCTAAGTGTAAACTTAAATTTTGCAAAATCTTTAGAGGAAGTTCCGTAAATTTTTAAATTTGAGGTAATGCCTGGCGTTTTTACAGCGTAAATTATGTATTACGAAGTATAATTTTCGGAGCTTTACCTTGAATTACAAAGGCCGCTACTCAAACGCCTGGAGCCCACTTCAATTAAAACGTTTAGTCAACGTCGCGAATACAATGTCAGCGCCTAGAACTAATAAATTTGAAATGCACAACGCTGTTCATTCGACAAAACAGATTCATGGAATGGAAATAACACAAAGGACTTCAACGCGTCGTTTGTTTTCGAGGCTGTGTAATCTCAGCTATAGGCAAGACGCTAAGTGACTGTGTCGATGGCATAATTTTACTCTTCACCCGGATAAAACGTGGAGAACGGCTACCTGATCCGCCACCTCCCAAACTCCGGTCAAAGAAGCTCACTAGACCTGAGGTACACAGTCGTTCGGTGCATGGCTCAACAACCTGTCCGGACACCACCCCAATCACACCCAAATCTTCAGATGGTACTGTACACCAGTTTAGTTTGCGTAGTACCAGAAATTCCCCGCTATCATCTTCATTCAGTTTTAAGAGACCGAAAGCTTTCAATGCCTCTCGTTTATAGAGAAGCCTACCATCTTCCAAGCTGTAGCCCCCAAGTTGTTGCGCATCCCGAGAATATTGTCAACGGAACAAGGTGCCGTGAAAATAGCCCACGCATGGCCATACTTCCTGCGAACATAACTAACTGCACGCAATACTCGAACCGACATGACGAGTCCGATGAGGGCAAGTACAAAAATCCCATGACCCACTAAGCTCCAAACGTAATAAGACACAGCGTTAGCGGTGGGTCCGGAGCGCTTCATGTCGGATCGATTAAGCGAACTTAGATAATAAGGCAAGCACATGGCGCTAAGCAATTCTCCCAGTAACGAAGACTCGTAGCTGAATAACATTCGCTTAATAAAAAGTCGTGTACGTTCCCGCATGCATCCCAAGTTCTCCACGAGCTCAAATGTCAATAGTAGCACGCCAGACAGATTATAACCCAGCGAAATATACTGCACCCAAGCGAAGATCCCTTCCGTTGCGACGAGCAGAAAAAGATCACTCATAAGCCCTTCAACCAGCATGTACAGGAGCAGAATTCGTTGAAAGTTACTCGCCCCGTGAGCTGACAGACGCATACTTTCATGCACGAAGATGGTTGCTGGCTTGCGCTGTAATCCCTCTTGCATCTGGTCACATCTTCGACCGTATCGTTTACATGCTATGTAACTTCTGCGTAGCACAAGACCTCGATACAATATCCACAACATTCCATACCAGTAAGACCACCTGTAGTCGAAATTTCCAGTGTCGTGGGCTAAGCTGTAGCCATTCATGTCGAACGTCCCAAGGCCTTTCACAAGACCGTAAACAGTTCCATCTCTTGAACAATAAGTGCCTACGACTTCTTCATAAAAAGAGTAAAAGCCGATACTGCCATGGTAAAAGTACAATTCGACGGGATTACTGTCGTCTGCACAATCCGATGGAGACGTGTGGAATGGCTCAACTTTCGTTGCGTGGATCAAATAATTGCCGTGCACATTATATTGTGGTACCACATAATGACAGACTATCTCCTCGCTAACACGATAATAGTGTGTGATGTCGATATTCCACCAAACTTGAGCCATCTGCATTCCTTTGCCATTACAAAATTCCGTCACATTCGCCGTCTCCGGATGCGCATCAGGCGGCACTATCAATGTCTCCGTGATCTTGTGCGGCGTCGCAAACTTCAAAAAGCTTCGAGTCTGAAGCGCAAACGGCACCATCCCCACCACGAACCACGCAGTCATTAGCATCCTCTGGGCCGTCATGACTGCTTCAACAGTTACTACTCGACCATCTTGACGACAATGAACTTTGCTCAACCCCATCACCAACACTTTAATTATTGTCCTCAGAATATTATTATCTGCCCGAAACGGATCGTAATACAAATGGCGTGATCAACGACAGCTGCGTTTTGGTGAAATTTCTCTCCACCCTTCTCAAACAAATACAATTTTCTCTCTTTAGAAATGGATGAGTTTGAAATGGAAGAAAACCTACAGCCTGGAATATACGCTGTGCTGTCTCCTCAAGGTTGGCGACCAAGGAATACGAAGTACGGACTTCGACGTTGTGATGCCACCTCCCGGTGCACCGCCCTCAGATCTTGAGGCGTTTCTCCAGTCTATTGACGACGCTATTGGAGTTATTGACCAAGAACTGACCGCTGCTGTACCCGACAATACACGGACCGCCAGTCCCAAGACGCACAGGCCCAAGAAGCGCAACTACGACCCGAACAAGGCGCGCTCTGCGCAATTGCGGGAGCTGCAGCGTCTGCGTGTGGAGGTCACAGACCTGGAACTTAAGCTGCTTCAGCTACAGACTCGCCCTAGTCGCTCCTCAGAGCTTTGCGCACAAGAGGAAGACGATGACCTTCCAGCGGTATGGGAGGAAATTTGTGCTCGACAATTGGAACGTCGCCTGAAGGTAGAACAAGAGAACTGTAAACTCAAGGAAAAACACAAAGTGGAGACAAAAATGGCTAGAAATATCGAGAAACTTCTCTTCAAGCGGTGGACACTGAACGCTTCCTCTGCAGCGGGTAAAAGTGTTCGAAGAGTCGAAATTCCGATAGAATTTATTAAACACCTGGCTGATCGCATATTTGCTGAACTAGCTCATGGCGTCGACGTCTCCTATCAAGAGGTGGAGAATGTCGTAGAGACTAATTGTCCTTTTCCGCTGAATATTGAGACCCAGGAGCCTCTGCTACGTGAAGGCGCGAGCATGGAGCTGTTCGATAGGAGAATACTTCCATTAAACTTGCACGCAACAGGTGACGCGTGGTGGAGACGCTGGCAGAATTACAGAGGCCAGCGCTCCTATGAGACTGCGAACAATGTCATTAGAGAGCGATGCGGCTTAGAGATGGTGGACGTCAAGACGAACAAGAGCGCGACGTTGTACGTGCAGCAAGTGCTGCGACGGCACGTGGAAGATCGTCGCGTGGTCATCGTCTGGCAGGCGTATCTTGAGCCATTTACTTTTGATAAAGAGCGGGTTCATGGCGTGCAGTTGGTACTGAAGGGCTATGTGCTGATGAAACCTGTGGAAAGTACTGAAGGAAGTGACGTGGCAACACGCGTGGTGACATGCTACAATATCACTCCTTACTTTTCAGACCCAAAGATGCGGAAGGATTCCATGATATCTGCATTGATCAAGTTTGTGGTAAGTGCGACGTCGGCAAATATTTCTACCAGCAATGAAGCGGTGGAGAATCTGCTGGTAGATGAAGCATTACGAAATTGCTACTGAAAGTGGATGAGCTTTATGTGAAATTTTCATTTATGGAGCATGTATACTTGTATGCACAAACTACATTTTGTTTCTATGTGGCTGATAAATTGTGTGCGTACCACCTCGAGTAGGGAATCGTTACAGACGACCACGGAAAAATACGCACTACCTAAAACCACGCCATGCCCTCGATTTGGTGCGATACTCTGCCACCGAGAATTCCTGAGGTGTATTGTGCAAATTCGGTCACGGAGCAATACTTTCGCGTGTTCACAACTATTCGTCATTGCTAATCTGAAGCAGTCGCCAGACCATGCATCATCAATGAGAAGGAGGCAAATTTGGCAGCTACAACAAAAGAAACAGCTGCAAAATGGATCTGAGGGAAGCCCAAGAAAAGCAGTTGGTGCTGCCGACACAGCCAGATAGATTTATTTTGAAAAAATGAATTCGAAGAAGGAATACTGAATACTTATTCTCACTAACTTATCAAGTGAATCCAGGCGCAAGTTGTTCAGTAGTATTTTTATAAAATAAATTTACTTATCAAAACTCGAAAGAAATCAGCGCCCAAGTTGGGAATGTAAGCTGGAAACATGGAACATTAAGGATCTTCTTCGCTCCTTGATGCGTGGATACCACTCTAGCTTTACGTAACAAGATGACTCGGTTGGTGGCTATCATTGGCACAACGATATACGGTATTACATAGCTATTACTTTGGAGTCATTTGGACTGCTGAAAGTGGAGAAAGAAGATAGCTCCGAGTTTGTAATTTAACGATAATTGCATTGGTTCGAGGTTCCAAGTGACTGCTTGTATGCGATTGGAACAGTGGTTGGCGAGGGAATGGAGCCCTACGCTGAGAAACTCTGCACCGGTATGATCGGCTTCTTTAATCGTGAAATGGGAGGTCCCGACACAAAATCACTCGGAGGTCGCCGTTCGTTTTTCGTCCTCGTACGAACCAAAGTCTCGGACACTCCACAGTCTCGAAACATTCTATTGATTCAAGATTTGTTATCTGGACTAAAATGGATACACTAAATTTACACGAGTTTCATTTATTCTGGAGCGTCACTTCATCATGAGGAAGTTGACGGTGAATCCGGGAGGGCGTTGTCTCGAGCATCGACCACAGCGTCAGATGGGGAGAATAGAGAGACTACTGACTCCAGACCGCTTGTTGTTAGGCGCGTGGGTATGCTCTCATGATACGCAGCTATCTCAACTTCGTGACACCCCATAAAATATCTGAGACTCTTTTTGTACCCCCTGGAGTCGAAAAAGAAACCGTCAATCTGACAGAAGTGTGTCCTGTTGAGGGGTTTCTACTGGGCCAAGTGTGGTGGAATGCTCAGGTGACGCACTACTACAACACCAGACACGGACGACTCTGCCACTTTGTAATTCCACAGTATAATATTCATGGAAACCATCGCATCGGAAGCTCGAAAGTACTACCGTATTATACCACACCAAGTAGCTGTCTCAATGACAGCTATCCCTTCGAGCTGTATATATACCACGGCAGCTTCGGATACTTTTCTTTTTACGAGGAACCCACAGGAACATACTGTGCGAATGACAAAACAGGGTACATAGTTTCGCGGAGGTTCGGTACGTACGACATTAACGGTCCAAGTCTGGCTGAAGACACTGCAAGCACAGACTACCGAAAATCTTACTGGTATGGCGTAACAGGCGCTCTCTGGGTGGTATATCGAGGTCTGGTATTGCGACGGAGCTTTATTATCTGCAAGAGATATGCTCGACGATGCAGTGACATAGGAGTGAAGCTTCGACGGAAAGAAGCTGTGGTATTTGTCCACGAGCAGCTTCGTCTAACTGCCCATGGAGCTACGAAGCTGCATCGGGTAGCGTTACTCTATTTCTTAATCGAGGGACTCATGGGTGACTTGTTTCTACTTATCGCAAGCAATGGCTTCTTGTCTAAAATCCAGTATGTCTCGCTTGGATACAACCTATCGGGACTGCTTTTAGTGGCGTTTGAGATAATCGAGAGTACCAATTGGCTGCAGGAAAGAACGCGGGTGATCGTTAAACGCCTGTTATTCTGCTATGAGTCTTCGTTACTTGGCGAGATCGTGGGAGCAGCAGTCCAGCAGCCATTTCTAAGTGAACTTAACGGATCTAGAGCACTCAAGATGTCAAATAACGTTAACCTTGTCGTCTCGCACTACGTCTGGAGTATTGTTGGTCACTGCATCTTTGTATTCGCTGTTATCGGCTTCATCATCTTCATTCGTTACGTGTGGTGGAAGCATCGAACGTGGTCTGTTTTCTACGCGCCGTGTTGTGTGGACACAGCGCTGGGCAACCGTAACAAGATGACGATGTTAGGAGGGTATCATCATTACGATGGGGAGCTCTACTACAAACCCGAAGCGCTGAGATCTTTTGGACTTTTGAAGATGGAGGAAGAAGACGGTTTGGAATGTCTTGTACCTCGCAAACTGCACTGGTTTGCCGTTCCTAGAAATGACCTTATTGTAATCGGGACTGTCTCGGGAGACCTTGTGAAGCATTAACACATGTGCACTGGGATAGTTAGCTTTTGGGGTCACAGGTTAGGAGGTGATGTTGATGGCATAACATTTATTGGTTGTGGATCAGGTTCGACCCTGCTTTTAGTGCGTATCAAACGTCGACGTTGATTTCTCGTTCCCTCAACATCACCCTGCTTTTAGTGCGTATCAAACGTCGACGTTGATTTCTCGTTCCCTCAACATGTCCTCCACCGCTCGACGGGAGTCCGTTTCAGATTTGAGGTCGACAAAGGCGTGTCCATTTCTGAACAGTCGACTATCTAGAGAAACCTTGACACATGCGAGTGCATTGCGATGATAGTGGAACGCTGCCTCGTGTGGTACCAACAAGATTTTTCACGGCACAAAGGACGTTGCTGCTAGTCTGGCTGCTGGGGTCGCTCCATTTGTTCTCCAGATGCGCAGTTACTTGAAATTTGTAACCCCACATAAGATCACACAGAGTTTAATTGTACCGTCGGGGATACCTGACGAGACTGCAAATCTCGCGGAGCTTTGTCCTGTGCGCGCGTTGTTATTGTCCAGTGTGTGGTGGAACGTCGAGCCAACGCATTATTCGATGGTCGGTAGCTACCGCATTTCGTCGCCCCTCAGTACAACACTCACAGGAATTATTTAGTTGGCGCGACAAAATGATACGACACCAGCGCATTGTGCGGACGATAGCTACGCGTTTGACCAGTACTTTTACCACGGGAGCTTCGGGTACTATTCCTTCTACGAGGAACAAATTGGAACCTACTGCGCAAAGGACAACACTGTGTACATCTACGGCCACGGACTGGGTTCTTTTGATACTAATGGGGCTTTCCTAGCACAAGACAGAGGCAGTTCCGGCTATCGACACTCGGTTTACTATGGTCTTGTAGGCTCGATATGGGTCACGTATCGCGCGCTTGTGTTACGACGAAGTTTAATTTCCTGTAAACGTTATGGTCGCAGATGTGATCAAGGGGGTGAATATCTTAGTAGAAAAGAGGCTGTGATTTTTGTTCAAGAAAACTTGCGACTATCCGCTCACGGAGCCACAATTTACCACCGGTTCGCGTTGGTATACTTGCTCGTTGAAGGCATTATGACGGATTTGTTTCTTCTCATTGCGAACGAAGGTCCTTTGGCGAAGATCCAGTACGTCTCGTTGGGATACAACTTGTCCGGGTTCCTCTTGCTGATTTACGAGATCGCTGAAACTAGCAGCTGTATGCGTGAAAAATACCGGTTATTTTTCAAGCGACTGTGGTTCAGCTACGAGACAGCGTTTCTCGGAGAGCTACTGAGTGCAGCTCTGCAAGAGCAAATGATCACCGCGTTGAACCGATCGAGTTTGCTCGATAAATCCAAGTCGACAGCTCTCGCAGTATCCTACTACTTCTGGAGCTTGATAGGTCATGGCGTCTTTGTTCTTGCTCTTACAGGCTTCGTTTTGTCCGTCCGTACGCTTTGGGCCATCGTGTATACGTGGTCTAGACATCCGCATCATAGTTGGGCGATTTTCACCGAACCGTGTAGTGTCGACACCGTGTTGAAGCTACGGAACAAGATGACTTCACTAGGAGGTTACCGCTACGACAATGGCAAGTTGTACTACAGAGCAGATGCGTTGAAAGCCTTTGGATTGTTACAGTACGAGGAGGAAGATGGTACGGCGTATCTCGTCTTGCAGAAACAGTACTGGCTGGGGACGAAGAGGAACAATTTATTTGTGATTGGAGCTATCTCGGGACAGAGTGTAGAACCATGCGAAGAGCGTATCTGCACTGGTGACGTAACATTCATTGATCGAAGACTGGGAGGGACAGTGGATGAGTATGGTATTAATAGTCGTCGTCCACTGTACATTCATGTTAGAAGAGAAACAGATTCAATACACGACTCCAATTGATTTTTTTTTAAAAGAATCCGTTTCGTTGTTGTCATTTAGAATATGACGTTTGATTAATAGCAACGTGTCTGAGTACGGACGAAGATGCCGAAAGTTCACTGCAGCATCAAAGCACCTAGGCACAATGCCTCGCGTACAGTAGATTCGAGCGGCTATATGACGGTACAGCGCAAGTTGCTGCTGGCGTGGGTTGTAGCTGGAGTGATTCCGTTCATCTTACAACTACGAAGCTACCTGAAATTCGCCACACCGCGCAAGATTACACAAACACTTGTGATCCCGTCTGCCTTGGAAGAGGAGAGTGAGAATCTAGCAGACTTTTGTCCTGTCGAAGGCATGCTACTAGCAGGATCCTGGTTCAATATTCAGCCTACACATTACTTCGCGACTGGCCGAGGCCGACTCTGCCACTTTGTAATCCCTCAGTACAACGTCCACGGGACTTTTCGCATTGGAAACAAAAGCGTCGAACCTTATTATATGACGCCTACGAGCTGCGTGGATACTAGTCTTGAGTATTCTCAATACTTTTACCACAGGAGCATCGGGTACTATTCCTTTTAAACGGGTAGCTACTGTCCAACTTATCATACGGCGTACATTGTGGGCCAAGGACTAGGAACGTGCGATATTAATGGGCCACTGTTGGCTGAAGACCGAGGTCGTATCATTTACAGACACTCGCTGTGGTATAGTATTGGTGGGGCTATTTGGATCGCATATCGAGCGTTAGTGTTGAGAAGGAGCTTCATTTCTAGCAAACGTCATGGCCGAATGTGCGATGAACTGAGAGAAGACCTTAACCGAAAAGAAGCGATGGTTTATGTTCAAGAAAATCTGCGACTGGCAGCTCATGGCGCCACCAACTACCACCGAGCGGTGGTGTTCTATTTGCTGATTGAGAGTATCATGACGGATTTGTTTCTTCTCATCGCCAACGACGGATGTTTAGCTAAAGTTCAGTATGTCTCGATGGGATACAATCTGTCTGCACTGCTCGTCCTGATCTTTGAGATTATCGAGAGTACGCGGTGCTTGAGCGAAAAAGTGCGCGTTCCAATAAAGCGGCTCTTGTTCAGCTACGAGACCACTTTCGTTGGAGAGATCTGCACTGCTGCGCTGCAGCAGTACTCCTTAACACTATTGAATCGGTCAGATTTGATGGAGACAAGATCCACAGCTTTGGCGGTGTCCTATTATGCTTGGAGCTTGGTTGGCCACGGAGTTTTTGTCCTCACTATAACTGCACTGGTAATATCCGCTCGATCGCTGTGGGCGCTTGGATATGTGTGGATAAATTACCGCACATGGGCCATCTTCACCGCGCCTTGCTGCGTCGATACTACGTTAAAACTGCGGAACAAAATGCTTCTACTGGGTGGCTATTATTGGGAGAGCGGTAAACTCTATTATACGACAAGTGCACTGAAGGCATTCGGAGTACTGAGAATACAGGAAGAAGACGGCGTGGAGTTTCTCGCGCTTCACAAGATTCGCTGGTTTCGAGTATCGAGAGATGACTTGCTCGTCATCGCAGCCATATCGAGCCATCGTCTGGAACTGTGCGATGAACGCCCTGGTCGAGGCGTGGTAAGCTTCTGCGATCGAAGATTAGGCGGGCCACTTGTTGAGACTGGAACCCATCATCAGCTAAATATCCATGTAAAGCGCAAGGATAACACCCCATCTACGAGTGACAATTGTTAACTTATTTCCCTTACTCAAGCTGTGTTATTGCTCTCAAACTTTCGGTCATTTCGAGTGCCAAATCAAGGAGGTGCAAGCAGCCGAAAAATAAATAGTAAAGTGTTTTTGTCATTAGTGGCTGTCAGAGTTGGATACAAGCCTGTGGATGCTGCTCGCAAAATACCCCAAAAATCCTTTTGAGTGCTGTTTACATGCACAAACGCTTTTATGGTATGCTTTTTAAAGTCACACCAAAATCTACTTTCCAATTTCTAATACGCCCAAAAATAGAATATCATAATCGGTGGCAACTTATGCTGATGTATTAATAGCTTGCCCCTTTCCTAATTTGAAAGTAGTCCTAGTATTAAAAGGGGAAGGGGTCGAAGGAGGCCTTCGATTTTTAAATTCGCGTCTTTTCTAGAAGTAGATATGATGTTGAGGCCATTTATATGAATGTATACATATATACATTTAATTCATGTAGAGTGAGGTCGACGTGCTTTTAAGGTGAGAGAACTTCACTTCCTGACTCTACTCTCTCCGAGCTCCGTCGACTAGATCCCGGAGCCTTTGGCTCCGCCATCCAGCGTTCTAGCGTTCTTTCTGCGGCAACGTCTACCCTTCGATTGGGGGATATCCGAGAGCTTCTTCCCAGAACTTGGATTCACCATAAGGCTTCGCAACCTTTTTTAAATCGCTAACATAAGTCGCCTAGAAACTAGGCCTGTCAACGTTGAACCTCCGAGGCCCGTCCAAGTCACTCCAACTCGAACTGTTTGAGTTGAAGCTGAGTTTCTGCCAACTCATGCTCGACTTGTCCATATTTTTCTTTTACTTTAATTCATATAGTTGTCGGTGCAAGGTCTAAGACCGTTCGGTGGATTTGATCCAGTTTGTTTGGGCAAGTATCCTTACATTCTTCTAAACAAATCCGTCAGTTACACATTTAATATGGACCACGTCGACGTGGTCCATGTGCTTATGGACCTCTTCACCTTCGGCTGGTCGGCGGCCGACGGCCACGGAGCCAGCGAGTGTGAGCGTCAGCTCACTTGGAAAAGTGAGTTCGGCCATTGCCCTGAAACTTGGACCCCGACGTGTTAGACACCATGGCGACATCCGACAAACTATCGCCGCCTACCGATGTGAATCGCCGTCTTTTTTCCATCAGCAAGAGCTCAAGCAACAAAAAGAAAAAAAGAAACAACATTGTAGCGACGTCTAGGCCTCGGGTCATGCCCCGCTTCATGATGTCTCCACCACCTACAACTTCTACTCTTCCGAGGCCGGTTGTTCAAGAGGAAGGTTCTCAACAAGTCGCCGAAGGTCTAGCTCAGCACTCCGACTCCGATGACCATGTTCTAGATAACGACGACCACGCTGAGCCTCCTCCCGATCAGTGCCCGAGACCACCAGCCCTGTTCGAAATTAAGAGCGCTCACAATCCTCACTGGTACAAGTTCGTCCGGTTAGTGGCGCATAGTGACTTTGAAGGGCTGGACAAGGCGGAACGGGACAACGCGCACGCTAAGGCGGCGTACTGCACAATATGCAGCTCGCTTGTTGATTTCCGTACTGGCAGAAGCCGTGTGAAAGAGCATATAGAGAAGTATCATCGAAAGTATCTTAAAACGTGTGAAAACCGCATCACTATAGTGAAACGAGCGAAGATGACATTAGCGATGGGTCTCATCAGAGGGACCCCTGGTGAGAAGCGGAAGGTTGTTCCAGTGACACCAGAGCAGCAAAGTCGAGCTAATCAATACTTAGCTCTTTGGCTTGCTACGAGCATGCGGCCGCTGGTTGAAGTGGAGGACGATGGATTTGAATTCTTTTTCCATTTCGTTACTGTAAAAAAGTGGAGGAATCTCGTTAAAAATCCCCGGGAGGACACGTGTTCGAATGGATATCGTCGACCTTGCCATAGAACTCCGGACAGAGCTCAAGGCAATGATGAAGGAGAGCTGTCGATAATATGCCGTGACTACAGATATCTGGACAAGTCTAACTATGCAGAGTTATGCTGCTCTAACGCTTCATTACTTGGATTTAAAGTATGTCCTTGCAATTGGACTCTAGAAGTTGCTCATTTTCCTGGTCGTCACAGTGGTGAGGCCATTGCAGAGTGTCTGACCCAATTTTTCAAGCAATGGGGTCTAGAGCCAAATTACTGTATGAAACTTATCCGCGACGGAGCTTCCAACGGTGTTCTCGCGTGCGAGTTGTTCGGCGTTCCGCATATGTCTTGCATAGCTCATTCGCTTCATCTTGTCGTCGCGGGTGCACTCATCAAGCGTAAAGCTCGGCGAAAGGCGAACGGTGACGAGGCTGCCGTCTGTTCGGGAACTACGGTATTATCGCCACTACGCGAGCTAGCTACGGTGGCTATTGGTTCGCCGTTGGCGCCCACCGATGCCGGTACAGTGCGGGGGGAGAATGAAGCGGAACCGTGGGAACAAGAGCGAGCAATTGGTGAGCTGGCCGAATTTCTTAGCGAGTGGCAACATCTGGAGCAATTTTTTACACTTGATGAAGTGCGCGATCTCGTCCAGCGCTTTCGGAGTCTTGCAGTGTACTTTCGCTCCTCTCAAAAGGCGACAAATCGGCTCGACGAGACTCAACGAGAGCAGTATGCAGTTTCCCACAAAAACGACAGCCTTTAAAGGTAGTGACGGACTGTCCTACCCGGTGGAGTAGCGCAAGGAACATGTTGGCTCGAATGGTGTAGCTGAAGAAACCATTGATTTTTTTTTGCTACCTTCGTTCTACTGTGGGTGAAAAGGAATTTGATCGGGCACGAAGTTTTTTCGAGCCTGATGGCAAAGGCTGGCTCACTATCAAGTGTTTGCTAGCAATATTGGATCCCATAGCAGCAACGTCAGAGCTTCTTGGTGGCCAAGGCTACCCTACTCTTGCTCTAGCATATCCGTGTCTTCGGCAGATTCAAAGGACACTTGAACGAGACGATTTGTTCGATGAGGAGACTTCGCGCGTTCGGAGCGCTTCGTACAAGAACGCTGTGCTTGATCTCATGACAAACGTACGGCTAGCTTTTTCGGACCTCTTTCGAAAGCGCTTCGAAGATATTCCTGCAGAGCTCCTATGGATTTCTTATCTGGACCCGAGACTGACCAACATGGAGGGTCTTAGCAGGGAAGAAGCGGTCAAAGCTACAAATGGTCTGATTGACGCCACCATCGACTTGGCAATGCTGGGTCATATACAGTTAGCGCAGCAAATGAGTGATCAAGACGAGAGTATCCCATGCGAAGAAACCTCAGCAATTTCTAAGAAGCAACGCACCATTGCCATCGAAGGTGTGTTTGGAAAGCGAGTACAGCACGATTCAATGTCGACAAATTCGGCTCGAGAGAGACGTATTCGAACACATTGTACAGCCGAAGTGTACCGCTATTTGGACGAGGTGGAGGATGTTACATTTGATGTCGATCCTTTGGAGTGGTGGAGAACACGTGGTTCCGAATTTCCTAAGTTGACTCCACTTGCCTGAAAATGGTTAGCGTGCGTCGCTACCTCAGTACCAGCAGAACGTGCTTTTTCTTCAGCCGGAAATACGGTAACAGCCAAGTGCAGCTCTCTCGATCCATCGTTGGTGCGCGATCTTCTCTTCATTCACGACAATTTTGTATACCCCGAGTAGAAACCAGCGGAAAAAGATACGAGTATCTCCAACATAATAAAGTCAAGTTTGTCTTAAGGTAGTTACGAATACTTTCTTGAACCATTGGAACAACTGCATTTTAAAACCTACCGATTTACGCGGGTTAGCTGACCTCCAGCTTATGTTGATACTTGTGAATCACAAATTGTCATCGTGCCACACAGTAACTTGATCCTGGTGAGCGAGCATTAAAACTGTTATCTGTTTGAAGAGGGTTTTATCGTGAGTTCGGCTGAGTTGGAGGCCAACTCAGCTGATCCCTCAGCGTTTCGTTGAGTTGTGAGTTGGAGGCCAACGTTGACAGGCCTACTAGAAACGGTGGACTCGTAATGAGAAAATCAACAAGCAATATTTTATTTATTTCTAATTTAAAAAAAGAAAATCAACAAATTTCGTTTAATTTAAATAATTCGCAAAATTTCCAAATTTAAATTTCGCGCGGAAAAAGAAACAAAAATCCAATAAATATCCACAAAACCATGTCATTTGAGCATTCACTCTCGAAGTGGCACTTGCTCTTCTCGCGGCATGAAGCCCGCTAGCCCTGCCCGCATGGCTTCTGCCGAGCTGCGAGCCACCGTATCGACGCTGCCAGTGTACGAGCATCAGAGTAGCAGCAGCGACAGCGACAGCGACGTCGAACACTCCACCAAAAGCGCCAAAACGGAGCAAAAAAGACGCAAACGATCAACAAACTCCAAGTTCTTGCTGCTTCCGCGCTCGTCCAGCCTCGCGTACGAGCCACGCAGGCCTCTCGCAGAGACTGGGGACCCTTGCATGCTCGCTGCAAGTGAGAGCGACGAAGTGACGAGTCTAGACGCGTTGGAACCAGAGAAACCCGAGCAGAATCCGAACCAGGAGCCCGTGGACATTGTCGTGGACCCAGAGGACGCAACAAGGTCGCAATCGTCGCTGTCTATACGCTCTCAGCCCGTTTACGACTCCTCGTCATCTATCTCCGGGCTGGAGCAAGTCTCTACAGCCGAGAATGAGTCTAAAAGCCTCGTTAAACGAGAAGATCTAAGACCTCCCAAGAGACCCGGCTTACCGGAAGTCACAAGCAGCATAGGAGAGAATAGCGATAAAGGAGGACCCACAAGATGGAAACAAGTGCCCTACGCCTGGATGCTGGCCAAAGTGGGGCAGAAGACGCGGCAGAAGATCGGAGATATCCGGAACTCGTACTTTGCAGGGTGGTTGGTGGCCTGTTCGTTGTTTGTGGTGCTCTTGAACACATTTGCTATCGCTATAGTGCAGCTCACATACAACCCACAAGAGAGCGCCGGAGAAGACGCCGAATCCCGCCGACAGTGCCGGCATTGGCTCAAATTGCTCATGACGATGCACTTTTTAGGCCTCCCGAACATTTTACTGATCGCGCCGGTGGTTTTCCCCAACGATTTCTTCTCGCTGTATCGAGCCAAAGACAAGCGGATGATTCGGCGTCCGTATCTGCTGTTCTGCGAGATGATCGTGGCCATCCAACTGGGTTTTATGATGTACGTGGCGGTGAACCAGCTGCTGAACGTGCCGGTGATTGTTGACTGCCACAGCCAACTGAAGCCACGCCAGATCGTGTTATTCTACTCGGCCACCGTGCTGTGGCTCGTGCTTCTCCGTCAGATCGTCGTGTTCTGTCGCTTTTTGACGCATTTGAAGCTCCAAGCCGACAGTTCCAACGATTCTTCCCATACGTCAGCGTTCGGCAACCGGTTCCGAGCTCTGAAGAAGATTCCGATCCGCAGTGAACGCACGAGACTCGAGAAAGAGTTCAAGAAACTGCTGTATCGCGCAGTGGCTCGTGGGGACGTACTTACAGTCGAAACGCTGCTATCGGAGGCGGAAGTCAAGTACCGGATCAACCGACTGCAGGATCTATACAAACCTCCAGTCTTGTGGCTCTACGCGTGCGCAAAGTCAAGGAAGAACCCGCTGCATATCGCCGTCAAGAGAGGCAATATCCGGATCGTGGAGCTGCTTCTCGCACACGGTTTGGACGTCAACGTGCTGGATAAAGTGGTGCGCGTGAACTTCAACGTCGGGTTGGTGTTCAAGATCATCAGTCGCATCCTGGTACGGTCATGCGGAAATTGTTTTAAACAAACTGACGTTTTATTTTGTGTGGCTAGGTACGTACCCAGGACGGTCTCCGATCTCCATTAAAAGCAGTTCTATGCTCCGTATTGCTCCCTCCACTGCACGGTGCGGTGGCGGAAGGCTACGTTGATATCGTGCGACTACTGATCAGCAAAGGAGCCGACGTGAATGCGCTGCCTCGAGCCTCGTTCTACTACCCTGCAGCTGTTCTGCCGCCGATCTTCGTGGCAGACGACCCACAAGTGCTGCGTTTACTGGTAGCGAATGGCGCCAACTTTCTCCAAGTCGCGTCGGTGGCGCTCACGGGACTGATACGCACATATGCCACGCCGTTACAGCAGAGTACCTTCACATTACGATCGGATCTAAGCGACTACTTGCTGGAGTGTGGCGGCGACGTGGCGTTGACGCCACTGCATCAAGCAGCAGCCACGGACAACGTGGGGAAGATCAAGTGGCTTGTAGCGCGTGGTATCCGCGTAGACACCTTAGGAGAACGAGTTAATGGTGTGCATCGTCGAACGCCGTTGCATTGGGCTGCTGTGGTCGGGAAGGTGAATGCGGCGAAGCTGTTACTGAAGAAGGGGGCGGACCCGAACGCTAAAGACCGCGATGGACGCACGCCGCTGCATTGGGCAGCCAGGAACAACCACGACGAGGTGGTGTCGTTGCTACTAGCGTACAACGCGCAGCCGGGCGCCGCTGACGACGAAGGGGTCCCAGTCGTGTGCTTTGCAGCTGAAGCGGAGGGCGTGGAGTCGTCGATCTTCTCCAACTTGGTGGCAGCTGGCGCGAGTCTTCGAACGCAAGTGACGGGGGGCAACACGGCGCTGCATATCGCTTTACAACGAGAGAACAGACAGACCGCCGTGTCGTTGATTAAATGCGGATCCAGTATGATGATCACGAACGATATCGGGAAGCGCGCCGTGGACTGCACGACGTCGACGGAGCTGCAGTTTCTGCTCAAGAAAGAAGCCGGGACGCGCAAGATCATGATCTCGTACACGCATACACACGCGCAATTCGCGTCCAAAGTGCGCGAGTATCTGGAGACGCAGGAACAACTGACATGCTGGATGGATACGATGGATCCCAGCGGCATTGGAGGCGGCGCAGTGTGGCGAGAGGAGATCGCACGAGGGATTTATAACTGCTCACTGGTGTTGAGTATTGTGTGTGATGGCTACACGAAATCCGAGTGGTGTTTGAAGGAACTGGCACTCGCCAAGCTGCTGCGTAAACCAGGTACAGTGCGTTTATGTCCTGCGAGGTTTGCTCTTGTGTGTTTTGACTTGTCTCTTTGTAGTACTCGGTCTCATAGTGGAAGAAGATCATCCGGCATCCATGGCATCTCTGGAGGTATAGTAGAGTCCAGTGTGTTTGATGTGGTTGCGTACTTATCATCGTTGCTGTAGTCCCTTATCCCGTACAAGAACCGCATCCCGTTTAATGATTTTATCATCGAGAGACGACACGAGAGTCCTCGGACGGTGATCTTTGATATCGACGACGCTGCGTTTGCCAGACGCTGGCAAGTGACGCGTTCACTGATGATTTCAATCATGAAGGACGGACGACAGTTGGATAAGGAGGAGCGGGAGAACGTGGCGTCTATTATCCCTCGACGAAGACGACGTCGTCGTAAGCAAAGACTTGCCGCTATCGGACAGAGTGGAGATATCAGTAGCACGGATGAGGAAGGTGCGCCGTCTGCATCGAACAGTGGCCCGTTGCCTGTGCTTATTCACTCCCCACTTGGAGCTGCGAGCTCTCTACGTATACGAGTGAGGACAGATCTCGAAGGGTTTGGCTTGTCGTGTCGCGATCTGGATGAGACGCGTCTAGTGCAGCAGATGAGCACTTGCAAAGCTGTGGTGCTGCTTGTTGAGGTGCCTGCTTCGTCAGGAGAGAGAGGGTCGGAGGAAGCCAAGGCGGACAGACTTGTGCGCAAGCAGCTGGTCGCTTCCATGGCGCGCATTGTGACGGCAGCGCAGACGGTCAGTCCGCGGAGAAGCGTCTACCCTGTGCTCGTTCAGCACAACTTCCTCGACCTCAGTAAGATGTATACGCTCGCTCGCTCGGAGCTCTTTTATTTCGTGGATGGAGGCGGCTGGTCTCGCAGTGTCGGGCGATTGGTGGATCATCTTCGACTAAAACAGGAACGGACTAGCAGCAATGGAATCGTGAACGGGTAGCTGGGAACTGTACGGAGTTGGCAAAATCCTCCTCCCATGACTCACCGTAGTACATGCGACCAAGATGTGATATCGGTCAGTGACGCAATCAGCAGTGCGAATAGCACACAGACATTTCCAAGTTTGCACTCGAGGCCATCGCTGCGAAGAATTCCGAGCGTGAAGAACGTCGCTGGGCAGATACAGACGACCATGTTGCGCTCCACGTCCAGTCGTGAGCATGTGCTTCAGACGTGGTTGATAGCCGGAGAGACTCCCGACAACGTCTTTAACATCTTGCGTCTTGATGATAAAGCGTTCGTGAACAACGGATTTTTAAGGACGGGGTCAGATACATCGAAAAGTACCGCGCTCATTGGGGGGCTGCCGGACCTGATGCGCTCAACTTGTTGAGGAAAACGAAATCGGAAGCAGAACTTGTGACGCTGTTTCAATCGCTTAGAAAAGATCCAGACTTGACGTAACTAGTGGGGCGGATCTCGGCGTACATGCTCTTACGCTCTGCGTCGAGTCGTGAGCTTGTGTATCCTTAAAACTCGGGAGAACCCTCGCAGGTTTTCAGAACCTTCGAGTCGTTGACGAGAACCCCTTATTTATCGAATAACTTGGATATTTTCAGATGTACAAGGCTCGAACAGGGGACATGTCGTTTTCAGACACGCAAGTACTCAAGTGTTGAAGAAAGGAGGTCGTACGTCTGGAGCGCTTTTCCAATCGATCAAAGATTCAAAACTTTTGCTACAAAATTAAAGACAGCACTCTTCCACCAATGGCGGACGATTCATAAGATCACCCCCCTCCCCCATGATTTTGTCGGTTGTCCTAGCGGTAATGAAGACTCCACTACAAACACCGTCAGTCTCTTGTTGAAAGGTTTATTGATACAAAACTCTACGACTGAAATTTATCAACGGTATGTGATGACGGGGAAGGTCGGATTTTGTTTTTCACACAAATGGACCGAACCCGATGACGTCCTCCTTCAAGCGAGCCTCCTAAACTTCGGTCGAAAAAGCTCACCACTCCAGTGCACGGTCGCTCAGTACACGGCTGTACACACTGCGCTGTCACAGATCCGATCATGACCAAATCCTCTGTAGACACCTTGAACCAATGTAGTTTACGTAAAAGCATAAACTCCGCGCCATCTTCTTCTTCCAGTTTTAACATTCCAAATGCTTTCAACGCCTCCGGTTTATAGCAGAGACCCCCGTCGACCCAACAGTAACCTGCCAACATGGTCATTTTGTTGCGTATCCCCAGGGTAGTATCAACACAGCACGGAGCTGTCAACACAGCCCAAATTTGACCATGTTTCCATCGCACACAAGTGATCGCGCGTAGGACGCGTACCGTCATGATAAAGCCAATTAGTGAGAGGACGATGACGCTATGACCGACTAAGCCCCACGCATAATACGAGACAGCACGAGCGGTTGGTCCTGAGTGCCTTATATCCGAGTGGTTTACTGACGTCAGAAAACTCGCCTGACCGATCGCACTCAAAAGTTCACCGAGTAATGACGACTCGTAGCTGAATAGCAAGCGCTTGATGAAAAGTCTAGATCTCTCATGTAGCCACTTCATATTTTCAATCATCTCGAACAGAATCAACAGCATTCCTGATAAATTATAGCCGAACGAGATATACTGAAACCAGGCAAGAAATCCATCGGTAGCCACGAGAAGAAACAGATCGCTCATGATGCCTTCAATGAGAAGATAGAGAAGAACGAAGCGGTGATAATTCGTTGCTCCGTGAGCTGAAAGACGCATATTCTCGTGGACGAAGACCATGGCTATTCTTCGTCGTAAGCTTTCGTGCATTTGGTCACATCGTCGTCCATACCGCTTACATGCGATGAAGCTTCGTCGAATTACAAGTCCTCGATAAATAATCCACACCACTGCTACAGTGCCGTACCAGTATGAATAACGGTAGCTGTAGCTTCCTCTGTCGTGAGCTAAGAGCGATCCGTTGATATCGAAAGTACCGAGGCCATGAATAAGCCCATAAATCGTATGGTCAATTGTGCAGTAAGTCCCGGCAACTTCTTCGTAGAAGGAATAAAACCCAATGCTGCCATGGTAAAAGAACATTTCGACGGGAAAACTGTCGTTAGCGCAGCTGGAAGGCGCAGCATGGTACGCCTTGGTCCTCTCAGATCCTATAACATATCGTCCGTGGCAGTTATATTGAGGCGAAACTAAGTGGCAGAGGCGTCCATGCTTCAAGTTGTAGTAGTGCGTTGTCTCGACATTCCACCAGACTTGAGCCATCTGCAAACCTAATGCAGGACATAGATCTGTCAAATTGACCGTCTCTTGAACGGCATCCAAAGGCACTACGAGAGTCTCCGTGATCTTGTGTGGCGTCGCAAATTTTACGAAGCTTCGCGTCTGAAGAACGAACGGGACCATTCCAACGACGAACCAGGTTGTTAGCAGCATTTGTTGTGCTGATAAAGTCGCACCAGACGAGACCATTGGATCGCCCAGGACTTGGTCGGCACTGTGCACTCTTGCCTTCTTCATTGACCAACTAGTACGTCGACGGTTCTTCGGGCGAATAGCTCGAACTATTTGGGGCGGAAACTGCACAATCTCATCCGTTTTGTGACGACCACATTCCAATAAACTACTGGGTTTTGCAATATATCTTTTTATTATTCCTAACAATACAATCGGGTATTGGACCAATTACTGACAATATATACAGCAAAAGGCTCCCTGTCGAAGAAGAAGCGCAACGTGACGCCAAGCATGACACGGTATATGCCTCTGGTGAAGATGATACCAGCAACTTCCAACATCGTTGAACGGCTATTTTCCCAGTGCAAGCTAGTGTTGACACCACAGCGCCGCTCCATGGACCCCGTCAACTTCGAGCAGCTGGGGTCTTTTCGTGTTAACCGCGATATGTGGGACGTTAGTACTGTAGCGGATGTGACCAAGGACCAAAGCGAATAAATAATCTGCTTGATTTGCTCTAATATCAAAATAAACATTTTCTATTCTTTGTGGACTCTCTTATTCTTAATATAAATCTTTATGCAGTGATTTACATCCATCGTAGCAATGTAATACGGTCTGTTGGCTACGTATTAAGCTTTCATTTGAGCCTAAAAGCTAAGTATTGACAGAGTTGTAGCGATTTAAGTAATATCATTCCGCATGCTCTACCTTATATCCCACATATTAATTCAATAAATATGGATAAATTTGGATACAATGCCATAATTTAGCTGAAATAATAGCACAAAATTATTGGTTGATACATCATTCCGATGAGTCACTTATAAAAAAATACTCTAACAAGATGCCCAATCAAGAAATCTATTCTTGGCTCGTTATCTTGTCGAGAATAATCACCTCAAATCATGAAGAAAAGATTTGTAGGCCCAGTCTCTGACAAAGTGCACCCGTTAAGCAGCAACTACATTGCCAGACTTGCTGGCAATGCCACGTAAAAGCAAACAAAATACGTAACTTTCTAACAGAAGAAGATAAAAAACGAGTCTACCTGGCAACCTGGAGCAAAGTTTTATGGAACTGGACAAGGAAGCAGCTGAATAGCCCTGGTGCTGGCCTTTCTTGGAGGCTCACCAGGATAACACGGACTCAGAAGATGGAACTTCAGAATTCAAAGATGGCCCCGACGAACTCGTTGCAGATAGAATATACGCTAAGAAAACTAGTCAAAGACAGGCAAGACTTTATTTAGTTTCTTAGGTGGGTTTCAAGATTTAACCTGGCAGCCGTCGTCAGACCTACCACAGAGCATGATAACGACTTTTAATACTGAGGAGCTTGGCCAGTTGACTATCGGGCCAGTATACTCACGGGGATCATGACTGGTGCAAGAGCTCACGGTAGTAGCTAGATATTGCTCCAATATATTTAAATTACGACAGTTTTTATTATTGGAAGTGCTCATATTGGAAGTTTTATTACGGCAAAACGTTGCAATCAAAACAATACATAATTGTGTTTTCCGACCTCTGCTCTCTCCGTATTCGCTGCAACCATTGGCTTCTTCACCTGTTCTGTACTCAGTCTTAGCGAAGAAGAGGCATAGAACTGAAGTAGGAAGCGTGCCAGGAATAAGATCAAGCGTATGCCTGCTCCACTTACGCTCTTGCGTAGTCCTGCGTATGCCGTGTAAATTCAGATATTCAAACAAGTAACCTATGCACTTCTGATTGCAAAATAAATGTCTACTGTGGGTGTCCCAGCGGGAACAACCAGCAGCTGAAAGGCTAGACTCTAGTCTACACTAGATACCTGCATGTGTAGCGGTGAGCTGAATGCCTGCATTAAAACGTCCAGCTCCAAGCGTGGTGCACTTTCATCTTCACCAATAGTGAGTCGCCAGAGCTAAACTTAAACGGTTCCCAAGCTCTCGCAAACTTGGATTACCGTGATGGACATACCGAAGAATCGTGTTAATAATAGTTATCATCGTGAATATATTTTTTAGATATCCAGTGTGCCATACGCAACAGTTGGTGAGCACTGGCCGCTAGCTGGTCAGTGACCAGCTAACTACAAATCGCGATCGCTACCGTACCAGACCAGCATTCACAGCTATTATCCATACCTTAGCGTCCCTATAATCAAAGTCGCGTCCGTATCAAACGGAGACGACATTGGACGGGAAGACGCAGAGTCGGGATCGCGTGTCAAAAATAATAGAGTTTGAATGTGCCGATGCAGGGCTCCTTAAAAAATTACTCGAAATATTAATGCAATTTTTCAAACACAGTTATAAATTTGACCGTGCTGATTCATTGGCCAATTCTAAATCAATTTAATTGTGAATTAATAAAATGACACTGGTGGACATATCGTAGCTGTTCTGACCACCAACAGTTCCAGAGGACATCCTAGCGAGTCTGAGCTGCTCAGTTTGCATTTTGCACTTGCGATACTAGCTCTCAAGCCACCTTCAGCCTCTACTGCCCGCCATGCCGCTCTCAAACCGAGACATCTGCGACATCCTGTTTCAAGAAGAAACCCCGGGAATGTATTTGTTTAATAGCTGCAGCCGTATCTACCGCAGCGCCCAAGGATTTACTAACATCATGAACCACCTCCGCCGTTTCTACCCAAGCTACGAGGCAGAGGCGGAGAGTGCGCTCCGTGAGACGAATGCACTTCGCCTGCACATTGTTGATACGCGAGCGAGCGACATCTTCCGGTGAATTGTTTTGGTCGTCATGAAACTCCTTCCCTTCAGCTTTTGCGAGCGTCAAATCGCGCGTCAGAGCACAAAGATGACCGACATTAGTGATAAAACACTGACTCGCTACATCATGCTGTTGCACCAGTATGTAAACTGCCGCATTGTCGGGGTGCTGTCACTCAAGTTTGACATCGTCCTTGACGGGTGGACGTGTGGTACGTGGTTATCTTTGCTGTCTTCGACTATTGTTCCTTCAGCAAACCTAGTGCACGTAAGGACGACGACTACTGAGACCTTTTGGACTGTCCATCGCGCCGTTTCCAACTACTGGCGTTTTCGTCAGTCGACGACGAGGAGGACTTAGGCACGCAAAGCCTCTTCGACCTAAGGGCCGACACGTTGTGTCGGCTCCAACGTCCATGGAAGTCTGTGCTATTTATGGTTGGCGATAACTGCAGCGTAAATCAGTACATCGGACGTCGGGCTGGCGCCATTTCTCTAATGGGCTGTACCAGCCACCGCTTCAACCTAGCGATGAGCACCTTTCTGGTACCAAACGAGCAACTACTGACTCGTGTTCATGCGCTGATGAAACAGCTTTCTAGTATTAAGTGTCGCGCGATGCTGCGAAAGCTAACCCATCTGGATCCAGTGATGAGAAACGCTACTCGATGGTCGAGTGTTTGTGCTATGGTCAAGCGCTACACGGAGTTGATGCCGTTCTGACTAAAGATAAACCATGGCTCTGTCGCTGACTATGGCCTCGAGAGCTATCTTTTAAGCCGGCGCGAGAGCGAGCGAGTAACGAAACTGTTTGGCAACTTAGAGAAGCTAAATGGCGTCACACAAACTTAGCAGAAGTCGGCACTGACTCTCTCCGGTGTTCGCCGGTTGTTCGACCATTTGTTAGCGAAGTACTCCCAGCTGGACGACCGCTTGGGAACAGCTGCTACCATTATCAACAACCAGCCACTGGAGTCAGACATCGTCAAGATTCAGCGCCACAAGGCACTTAGTTCTGCCGAGCGCTCGACGTGTGCGATGTTCAGGCTGGCTGATGATAATCACGTTCAATTCGAAACGCCTGAGGAATGACCCTCGCTCGCTCGAAGCGCGTTCAAGAGACGCAAGCCAAATCGGTGCCAGCGCTACATGGACGTCGGTTTTGTACCGCCAACGTCAAATGAATGCGAGCGGTGTTTCTCTGCTGCGAAGTTGGTTCTGACAGACTTACGCAAGATCATGGAACCAGAGCGGCTAGAGGCGATGATGTCGCTGTCAATAAATAGGGAGCTCTGGGACGTGTACGCTGTCGAAACCGTTACACACCGGCTAGGTCAGAATGGTCGTGATTAATTGAGTAATTAATTGTTTTGCAGATTCTAAAAACTATCAATCTGAGATATCAATTTTGCGGAGCCCTGGGCAGACTTCTAAATGGGTCCTATTTAGGCCTGGTCTCGGATTTGGATCAGCCATTCATACAGTTATCAAGAAGTGCAGACGCTACGACTGCGTAGTGAAGTGTTTCTGGCTTAGCTCGAGGAGAGCTGACACATTGCCCACCCTCGATACTTGACCAGGGTTTGAGCAGCCAAAACCAAACTTTCGGTCTCTTAGAGAAGCTTCCTCTACATGTAGAGCAAAATTTAAAAACAGCAAAATTGCACAAGCGGGTGTTGAGAACGCCGTTTTCGATGACCAAACGCAAAAATATCACCGGCGGATCGTACTAAAGAGAAAGAACTTAGTAAAAAAAAGTTAAAACAAATTCAAAGCTAAAATATAACGAAAACGGGTTTGTCGTTTTGTAGAGTGCATAGCATAACTCCCTTTCGACAGGAGAAAGGTGATAGATAATTGCTACACACCAGGTTCATGGATAATCATTTATTGAGGTTTTTGTGGCAATGCTTTATTCTTTTGCAGCCCTATTATCATTTACAGTCGGTGGCATCATCGCATTTCCTGCCGGTTGAGTAGGGCATAAAAAACTTGTAAATTATCAAGCTCGACCTACGATAGCGAGCCAATTTTGCAATAATTACATTTTGAGTGAGATAATTGGAGAAAACTTGCGGAGTAGCAAAACTTAAAATATTTTTTTTTTCGGGGTACTTCCCGCCAAATGCTACTTTTCTAACGACCACCACAACCTCCCAATCTCGCAAAAATGCATGCCTACACGATTGAAGACCTCAAAGCCGCGGTCAAGCGTGCTCTAATGGGCGGCCAAACTTGTAGTGTAAGTATTGCCAGCGCCATCGCGTACCATGCTTTACAGAAATGGGTTTCGAAGGGCAAAATGGGCACCTTTCGCGAGCCTGTGCGACGCGGGCCAGCACCTTTACTATTCGGCCCCAACGGAGCAGTGCCTCGTTGAATGGATCGTTGGGCGTCAGATGGTAGGCCTACCAGCTAGCTGCAAGATGATTAATTTTAAGCCAGGAGCTATCTCCTCCTTGGCGGTCGTACAAATCGTAGGCGGGAATGAGGGGGGGGTGTCGTCGCTTTTTGGGCCGACATCCTTTTCCCGTAGCTAGAACATCACAGCGGTAATAAAGGCCCGAAAGTGTGTGTCTAAGGATGCCACAGCGATCCTGTTCAGCTCGCTGATCAAAGCAGTGATCGAGAACAATCTTGACGCTTCCCGGATCTTTAATGTGGACGAAACAGCGTTTCGAACGAACATGGGATCCAAGCGCGTCGTGGCCGTCAGATGCTCCGGAACATTGGCATCAAGACGTCGCTCTCATCTTCCGCCTAAATTTAGTCCTGTGGCAGCGCCACCGGATGCATGACACCTTTGGTGTTCGTGACGTCTATCTCCACGGTCAAGCTGGAAGTGTTCAACGGTCACACTTTCCCTGGCGTTGCCGTAACTAAATCTACGTCGAAGTTCATGAATGATCAACTCTTCGTGCACTGGCTTCGTTTCTTTGCAGGTAGTGTCCCGGACGACGTGCAAAGACCTCTGCTGCTGGTACTGGACGGGTGCAGCTCACACTTTTCGGCCGAAATCATTTTAGAGGCTGAATGCCCTGGTGCCCTCCTATTGCTGCGCTCATCTAACATCACTCATTTACTACAACCGTTTGACGAGGCAGTGTTTTCATCGTTTAAGGCCAAGCTTCGCCAATTGACCGACATATGCGTGGGTGAAACTGGCAGCAGCTCTGCCAACGAAAAAGAAGCCATTAATATCGCAAGCACATCGTGGTTGGTATGCAAAATGGGTAAAAATAAATGGCTGGTCTCGGTGGATGCGGCCTGTTTCCGGTACAATCCTATATGATATTACAAAAACATAAGCGACAGGGTATAGAACAAAGCTGACTGCACACAATTTCTTGTAATTTGTGTTTAAATTTAGGCCGATTTGTGCTGTCAGGAAGTGCTACCATAACTTAGAGGTAAAATCCTCGGCTCATAACCGAGAGGGCGGTGGTTCGATCCCACCTGGTAGTATTAACCCAACTCATCACTAGTGCGCCGATTTTCAGTTAGATCACTCGGTGGCCGTCACAAAACTGCGAAAGTGGAGACAGGGGCCATCGAGTGAGCTGATTGACCACCAGCATGCTCAGTATCATGAGTCGGGATTCCCTTGTGATAACGGATTGAAATTGTCGAATTTTGATCACCAGCAATCACAGCATACAGATGGATATCGTGTCACCATAGAAATTAAGTAAAAAGAGTATTAGTTGAAGTGCACAGCAAAAGTGTATTAAGCGTTTAATGCTATCATAACGACATCGGCATGCGCCGTTGCCACGACAGACGCCAACCCACCCGGATTGGTGGCTGCTGCGGTCTTTTGCTTCTTGGGCTTAGGCGTCTTCTTAGTATTGGGCACCTTCTTGGCCTTAGGAACTCTCTTGGTCTTGGCAATAGCTAGAGACGCTGCTCGTTGCTTGGACTTCGGCTCTTCCTTGGTCTTCTTAGGCGGTCGTGCGATCTCGTCAAGCGCTTCCCGGGTAAGTAGCCGACCAACAACGGTAGCTGTCTTGCGAACACGGTTCCTGGCTGGCTGTAGCACGAGAACATCCTTCTGCACTGTCTCCCTGATGCGAAGCCACTTAGCTAGCTGAACTGTGGCTGGGGCACCATTGCAGGCAAAGTTAGCAAGAGTAAAGAATATTTGTTTTTTATTTTTACAAAAAACAAGAGTAAAAGCGGCGGAAAACTGGTCACATGGTTGTATCAGTTAGTAAATCCCTATTAACCCTATCGTTAACGCCATACATTTCTATTTGAAGAGACACCATACAAACTTCAAGTACAACGCCCTAAAAGGATACTTCAGGTACCTTTCTACAGCAAAAAATGTGCGAGGTTATTGTCCAAATATTATGCAGTTGTAGAGGTTTTGTGCAAAACCGGAGCCTAAGAGTACCTTAAGTATCATTTTGCACTGTCTTTTTTCCATCTCAGCCAATTTTCGCTTACGAAATAAAGTCAATAAGGGGAGTACCGTGGCCTACATGACCTCTTGATCCGTGTGACGTACACAAACTGTGCCTCAATTGCACAATCACCGGAGTTGGACAACCTGGGCGGCGCTACCGCTACATCCGCAGACGCAACTCCACTACAACATTTGGGCAGGATCGATGTCAAGTGCAAGCCCGCATCGACGGTCGACGGTGTGCTGACCATGCTCAAGGGTGTAATCAAAGCCATGTGGCTCTATCTGCTAACGGCCAGGCCCGAAACGGCCTCCCGCATCGAGGACATTCTCCGGTCTATATAGGGCTGTGGCTTTGTCTACGCTCCGTTATGAAGCCGGAAAGAATGCATTATCGCTACGTGGGCTTGAGAACCAACCCCCGCCGGTAGGGCAGCTGAGTATGCCGGTGAAGAGGCGGTCACAGAGCTCATTCTTCCACCTGATGAGATCTACATGTTATGCACTGCAAGGCGCACTCGCGTGGCTACAAATTCCGCCCATGATCGCCGACATCATTGACACGTACTCGACCTACTTGTCAAGAACCAACTCCGGGGTCTACGTATCCATTTTCCTGCCTAGGCGTAAGCGAATTCAGTACTAGAGGTGCAACACAAACTTCTGGGCGCTTGTAGAGCCAATCGGCTCTTACAACGTGGCGACGGTAGTAGAAGTAGCTACGAAACTCTACCGAGCTCGCTGCGTTGCCATGACTAGCGGCAACAGCTCTATAATTGTTTCTCAATGCGAAACACTTAACGAGAAGGCTAAACTCGCTCTAGTTTCATTTTCAAGTCGTATTGCGTCAACAAGCGCAGATGCACGTATCCTTACTTCAGATTTGAATTTGTGTATTTTACTAAAAAAAAGTATAAGGCAGCTGTGAAGCGATCTTCTAGTGCCACCCAACTTGCATGTGCTTAGTTTCCGTTCAGTCTAGATTTTGCAATCTCCCGTGAAGATGGCTCGTGTCGAGTCTGATGACCCGGTCTGTCGTTCAATCTCACACGTGCCAGTGTATAGCGTGTTTAATCAGCTACCAAGACCAAAGGAGATGCTGTGCCGGAATGAGGGCTCTGACGTCAATCTCAACATGGTGCGTGTATTATACCCTCGTTTTTACAGCTCTAAGCTATTGATTCTTGTGTAAGCCAGGCCCTTGCGTGATTCACTGTCGGCACTCGCAAGCCTATCGAATTCGACAATTGATACCCCGTTTTCTATTCGCTTGATCACCTTGTACGCTGAGTACGTTTATTATCCGATACTAGTGTCTACGCTGACGCGTTTTGTTGTTAAGGAGCGTGAGCACAGCTTTGGCTCTTATGCCGTAATTGATGATTTGGTTGGGGCCCTCCCAGTGAAACAAATGTACAGTGTTTAAACAGGGCTTTATGCCGGCAATCATCACCTTCTTCACGAATACATCATGATGTTGATATGGCCTCGATCCTCCATGGAAATTTCGGATGTACGACTCTGATTTTTAGATCTGTGTCAGTTGAATACAGTGGCTGATTTGTTATCGATATGTGTAGATTACTCGCAACCACCTTCACGATCGCCTAGATTTCTTGAAAGTCTACCTTCAGTATACGCGGACCAAGCTCGATGAGCACTTCAAATGCTACAACGAATGAAGGCGGACGAATCTGATGATAAAGAGTCAGTTAACCTTCACAAGAAGGATGGGTATCACAAAAAGCGTGGCTACACTATCTTTGTGTATCTGAGTATGACTATAAACGTCATCTATGTAATGGTGAAGCAAGCTAACAAGCTTCAATGGCAGCAGTTCCAATGCACCAAGTGCATGTACTACCGGTCATCAAAGTGGCGCAAAAAGAAACATGTTGTCATGGACTGACACGCTACCTCCTGTAAGATTCTATCGGCGCGGAAGCCAAGATGTGAGCCCCTCTGATGCAATTTACCGCAAGCAGCGCGAGAAGAAGTAACGTGGCTGTCTCCACTGTAGATAATGAAACGCTCAAATCAAAAAAATGATTTATTGCTTGAAATTACTTCCAGTTATGCTCACTAGCACCTTAGCCTCGTACGAGACCGTCAACTGGATTGGTCTTCTACGCTATCTTTAAGAAACTTCACCGTAGCGAGTTCGCAGCGATTCTCAGTAGCTACGATGGTAGCTGGACTCATGTGGTGGGCAACGAGTCGTTCAGCAGCTTCGTAGCCGTGTATGCTAGCGTACTGCGGCTCCTTCAGCGGTTCTTCATCAACTGCATTAAATAAGCACACCAGTAGTCTGACGCTTTTACCGCTCTGCAGTGGTGGTTGCGTACAACTCTGACGTGCCACGGGACCTCCAGTACATCTGTTTTGCTGACCTTCGTCGGTTCGAAAGCGGATCTGAAATCCTTTGGTGGTCGTAGACGTGCTCGATCTTGAGAAGGCCTTTCTTCACCTTAGCGGCAATGAGGAGCACTTGTATAACGCGCGGAGAGCCTTTCGGCAGTGCTGTGGTGGCATGGCGAGAGCACGAACTTGTTTACACCTCCTGCACGTCTGCCGTCAGGGCAGTGTATATGTGCGAAGTCTGACGGCTCTCGTAGAGCTTAGTACGTGTACGGAAAACCCTGTACCCATGATTCGCCATTTTTTCAGTAGCTCCGCGGTGACGGCTCCATTTCCGTCCAGCGTAGTTATGTTATTGCAACGGTTCGACCCTGGACGAGTTACGTCTGCCGTTTAAATACGGGTTGTGCTCACTTGCGCCATGTAGTAGTACATCTAGCCAATGAGACTGTGTTCGCGTCCGAAGTGCACCGAGCCGCTAAGGAGTTTGAAGGCGGGGCAACCGATGACGATATCCGAGGCGATAAGGAGAGCCAGGGAGCAGAGTACGCCGAAACGGGATGGTGATCAGCTCTTCGGTCGTGATCTCAGGTAAACCTGCCATGACCAAGCCCTGCCGCATCTCCTTGGTTAAGCCGCAGGTGGGTGTACCACCGAACAGGTTCTTCAGTAGCTCGGGTCCGTCGATGAATATCCATATGTGGCAAGCAAGGCTCCGCCTAGCCAAAGCGGATCAGTGCCTTGCCGATTGTTTCTGGGTTGGCTGTACGGGAGTGGGAGGCAGCACTAGTGTGGTCGAAGAAGACAGTGGCGGTCATTGAGCTGTTGGACTTGTGCGGCTTTCGTCGAATTTGGGAATGAGCCTTCGTTTGCCGCGCTCCGCACGGCGAGATTTTGCCGCCATATTCGCTCGCCCCGTGAGCACGCTGTGGAAGCCACGGTTCCTCCAATCACAACTCTTGAATGTGTGGCTCCACCAATCACACGACATGCCACTATGAGTACAAATACCTTATTGGTGGAATTCTTGATGTGAACCCTGGGGGGAGGGAAACACAGCCCGTATCTTTTCCACTACTTCAACTTCGCGCCAAATTTGAATTGTTTGCATCAGTTGTACTACTTTAGTACTTTCTAGTACATCGTTATATCCGTTGCAATAATCGTGACCTTCTAAAGCGCATACTAGTACCAATAGGTTTTTGTGACGGCGACACTTTCGTCGTAGCACGAGCACTCTACCAGCATCGCTTACGAGTTGAATACATGTCACTATGTTGAAATTATGCCCGTTCATTAGTAGCTATAGTCCAAATGGAAAACAACAGAAAAGCTGCCACATTGATCACAGTAGACCTACAGCCTTTACGATGGGTTCTTTATTTGGATCCGACATAGATTGTTACTATAAACGTTATAGTTTCATCGTTTCAAAGTTTAGTTGGTCCTTCCGTAAAAATTACAATAGCAATTCAACGAAGATTTGTCTTCTTTGAATTTACATACTCAAATCAGCATGTGTGCTACTGTGTTCTCCCCACAAATTTCATACTGAATGTCATAGTAGGACGGTGGCTAAATCATTCGTGAATAATACCGAGCACTTACTTCCTCGAGCAGGAGGACAAGTAGCAGGTGCAAACGGCAAACTGCACGTCACCATGTTGACCAGGGGGGGGGGCATTGCGTGGAAGTGGAA